CGGCTGTAGCCGGCGGCGCGGGGCAGCGGGCCGCGGGCCGCCTCGCCTCAGCGGCCTCCTCACGGGTCGAGCGAGGCGGGAGGAGAGCGGGGAGAGGCGCTTGGAGGGTCGCAGCACAAGGCCCGAGCCCGCAGGCTGGTCTGGTCCTTCTTGTCCATGGCTTCCCTGAAATCCCTTGGGAGTTGTCTCTCCCCGCCCCGCTGTGAAGGGCTTCAGCCCTCCGTAAAGTTTTTGCTCGTTTTCTTGCCATCCTGATTGATCCCCTGCGAGCGCGGAATGAGGTGGGGTCGCTGGCGTTACTACTGTAGCCCTTTTGTTCGCTAGCGGTCTGGTCTTTTTTTTGAAACGGAATATCAGAATCGCTAGAGAAAATTCGCATCGTCCAGACTACTCTTCTAGCCAGCAAATGAGGCTAACAACATGACGATCAGCGTGGGTTTTACTTGTGCTTGAGCTGCCCAAGCCCTGCCCGTTGTGTTGCAAAGATGGAGACAACAGGCATGGGAGCTCCTACTGGGAACTTCCTCCCTCCACCAGTACAGCTTAAAGTACTTTTCGGAGGCAGTCAGTAGTAGTGTTCCCCAAGATGTGGAAACGGGGGAAGATAACTCCCCAGCAGGATGACAGCAGGTCTTGAAATGTCACCTAGCTTTGCAGGTCCTCGTAGATGTGCACCCTCTCTGCAGAGTCAACCCTTTTAAACCCGTTTGTAGACCGTGTTGCTGCATGGATGCAGGAAGGAGGAGGTAGTAGAAGCATAGAAAGGGCATTCTTTTATACGCATACAGGCAAGCAATATCTATGCTGGACCTGTCATAAGCATTTGGGCCAAAGAGCACTGTTCCAGTCTGGCTCCATCATACCCATCTTGCTGTATGCATACGGCTTTTACCTAACATCCAGTGCCCGTTGGGCTGGGACGTCTAGAAGTCTCCAAATAAACTTTAAACTAAAGTAGGGGCCTGCGGTAAGAAAAAGATAATGCTGTCATTGGATGTTTTGGAATCATTTTCAATGGGAATCACATTTGAAAGACATGCAACGGTTGTGCCCTGAGTTAAGCACCTACCTAAACATTTGCAGGGTCAGGCTGAGCCTGAAAGTTATACACACACAGTAAAGGTAAGTTTGAAGAAGAAAAATGCGCTCTCTCATTTGTACACCCTTTAACACCTCCAGTTATCTCCACGGAAAGCTTCCATTTCACTTAACAGCCCCTTTCCCCAGATGCTCCTCAGTTATGGTGCTTGTCTTATTGCCAACAGTGAAATGAAGCTGCACAGATTCAGGTTTTCTTCCTGTTGCTTCTTATTCAGGGCTGTAGTCTGCAGGCTATTGCAGAGGGCTATTTTGAAAATGGGAGGTGGGTGCTTGAGAAAATTGATTTTTCACCTTCAAGAAAATAGCTCTTTTCAAAGCAGAATCTGCAAGATTTTCTTTTTAATAGAAACATTCATTTTAACCCTAAATCTGTATGGTAATGTCCCCAGTAGGACATTACTCAGTAGGCATCCAGGACATTGAACAAACATGAACACTAGGGCATATGCATACCAGAGAAATGTTAACATTCATTTTCACTTTAAATGACTACTGCAATATAAAATTATAGTCTTCCCACCTCAGCTGATGTCACCATGGGGAGATGGTTGCCAATGGGTAAAAGCCATGCAGCCAGCAGTCATATGGTCTGGATTTATCTTGCTGTACCTGGCAGCAAAAGGAATACAGCAATGCAGATCTTGAGTTAAGTCTTGCTAAAAAGGTGTGGTGTTTTCAGAAAAAAGATGACAAACGTGGTGCAGAATAGAACATATGTCTGCATGCTTATTTAATTAATATTTACCGATTCATGTAAGCAGATACATAATACCAACAGTGGGAAGGAAGTGCATTAAGAGATCTCCAGCGTGCTTCGCAAAGTGAAATTAGTGATGGTGTTCCCTAATACTCCTGCTCTTCATAAAAAGGTCTGAGCTACCCTCTTTACTGTACATGAAGTAATCTGTTTTCTGTTGATTTTAGTGCCATCTCTGATTTCTTTCCTCCTTGGAAAAGTGCAGCCCCTCAGTCCTGTTTTCCCGCTCTTAAGGCTATATGTTATAGAGAGGTGTCAGCAGCTGCTGCAGAAAGAAAGGCTGCAGCTTTGAAAAGCATCAGCCTCAGAAGAAATGTAACACTGTGGTCCAAATTGCCAGGGATGCTTTGAAGAATGGATCATTTTTCAAATCACCAGGACACGCAGGGGAAAGAGAGGAGACTGCCAAGCTGAAAAGGCAGGGAGGGAGACAGACTAGGTGACACATGACAACTGCTCTGAATACGGTTAGTCCCAATTAAAATGAGACAAACTCCCTCTCCCAGTTGTCAAAAGCTGTTCCAAAAGGCAAGGCAACAACAACCTGGTGACTCTAGTGCAATTACCTTCCAAAACCAGTGTCTTTCATCTTGGTCATTGCCCTTCTCCTTTACGTTCATTCTGTTGGCATTTTTTTTTTTTTTCTTGCAGCCACCAACATTCTCCTATGTGGGATTTATCCCCCCCGGCCTGATACATGCCCCCTTTGAACATGTGTGCCTGACTGGGCTGCCGTGTTGGTGCTGCTGGAGGGGCAGCTGCTTGCAGCCCCGGCTCTCACGGCTGCACCCACACGGGGAGCAGGCGGAACGTCTGGTAGTGGTGGTACCGACAAAACTCGTCCCTCCAAGGCACCAGAACAGAGGGATCCCCACGGCAGCGGGAGGATCCCCCAGAACTAACTGAATCAGAAGGAAAACGCGCACAGGGAAGGTTGCTTTGCTTTCCAGTCCTTGCTGCCTGAGCCTTTTGCATTCCGCGTCCCAGCCCCGCAGACAAGATGAGGGATGTATCCTCTGTTATCACGACTCATCCTCAGCATGCACACCGATGGCACGGGATCTCTCTGGGGGACTTGGGTCACTCTCAGGAATGAAACTGTTCTGAAAGTGAGGAGAGAACTGCAACAATTTCAAACACTCTTCAGAGCAAATCCTTTCTTTTACTGTGCAGGCAGGAGAGTAGGGATGGGCCTTCCAAGACTGCCAGGAGCAAGAAGTGGGGAAAAAAGGGAGGTGGCCCCTTTCTTTCTAAGTGCTCACAAACCTCAAGTTTTTCTGTTGCCTTTCTGTGCTTCACCCTCTCAGTGCTGCCTGCTTAAGATGCGGTTTCAGTGGTGCCTCAAGCAGGAATTACCTGGTGTGTGAGACTAGGTCCCATTCAGTGGTTGCAAACCAGGGAGTAAAAATCAAGTGCATCTTATTACTTTCTAAAGAACTGTAGGGTTGGCTGGCTGCCCTCCCTTCAGTTGCTGATGCTACTAAAACCATTTGAATTGACTAAGTGGGGATTTCTAGCCCCCTTTGCTTTTGGATGCCCAAACCCACAGAGAGCATTCACAAATTACTATCAGGACAAAACTGAATCCACTGTCTTTCAGTGCTGCCACAAAACTTCTCAAAGTTCACAAAGTAAGCGAACAACCTTCCACCAAGGCTCTGTAGAATGCCCAGCTGATTCAGTGTGCTTGGCATAGGGAAGCTGAATTCAAAGAACAGAGCCAGAGGGGTAGATTAAGCAATATATCCCATAGATTTTTGGACCAGACTGTGCTTGGTTTTCTGCAGAAACCCAAACCCCCTGCCTCTGTGCATGTCTTCCAGATGATGGTCACATTATAACCCGTATAGTACCCCTGGCTTTGCAATCCAGTACTAAAATCTCAGGAGAGAAATGGAGCCTCCAGCCCCCAATAATCTAGCTAGAAAGAACAGATGAGATTCTGAGAGAGGACCAGGTTGTAGCATTTAATGGGATGGTGACGAATTGTTACTCTTCCTTTTTTGTGGCATTTTACCTAAAGCTGCTTGATAACTTGCAGATAAAATAACATATGGCCATCGTGTCAGCCTGCAGGTAAGTAGGTGCTTGCAAAAACCATGATACTTAACGACTGTGCCCAATCTCCTGCAGACAGCCTTTCCCCACACATGAAAAAAAGCAGCTGAGGTGTAGGTCTAGGCTCAACAAATGACCCTGTCCCCACAGTGGGCATCTCAGCCCCACACCACACCTGGCAATCAGCTGCAGCTGACAGAGGAACGCAATCAGGATATATGGACCCCAGTGCATTATGGTGAGGATGTTGGGCTGATTCCACTCCACTTCCAGAAAGGGTGTGAAGCTATCCCTCCTACGCAGCAACACCCCCGTGCTCCCCATCCTAATCCTCACCCCCAACTAAGGAGCTCCACCTCAGAAGGAATCCAACACCAAACCCACCTCCTCCCCTCTGCAGTTCTGGGCGCCAAGCTGCAGATGCTTGCAGAAGCACATCTGGCTGTGCTTGTCACCTCCCGAGAGAAACCAGCGTCCCAGCTTCTTCTGCTCAGAGGAGAGGACACGTTCTGCAGCCAGGCTCCTAGCCTGCGCAGAGGTCCCCAGGAGAGCCAGGACTCTCAATGCTGCCCATAGAGACAAGACGAGTCGCCATACCTCTAGGTCAGCTGCAGCCCGGCCACCTCTTTTATTCACAAGGCTGAAGAAGAAGTGGGAGGGTGAGACTGCCTACAGCAACCGAGAGAAAAAATGCACACACGGGAAAAAGCGAGGGCTTGGGAGAGAAAGAGTCCTGCTTTAACCTGAGCAGGGATCCTGAAGAGATGTCGGAGACAGAGGCTGAGATTGTAATTCAGAGAGAGGGCAAGTCTTTCAGAGGGTAACAGGAAAGTGGTAGCAGGGGAGTGATTGTTTTTAACCTGAACATCCCAGAAGAACTGCATGAGGTGACAAGAGGCTATGGGGTAGTCCAAGAGCAGGAGACAGCCCCACTAACCACACGAGAGACATCATCTGAATACCAGGTCACGGTCTAGATCTCCTTCCTTGCTTAGACAAGAGTATTCAGAGTGCCTTTTATCCTTTTAAGGAGGATGCAAAAAAAGGGAGAATGTTATGATAGCCCGATACAAGTAGTTCTATTCATCTACTACTGCATGTAAGCAATGTTGGAAGATCTGCCAGGGTAATTAACAGTAGCCAGGAAAAACCACAAGAGTAACCAAAGTAGTATCACAAGCTTGCTTGCATATAAATCCATGAACTCCTACTGATTTGGGAAATCCATGAACTTTCAGTAACACGAGGAGACGCGGTTCCAGACTGCTGTGTGGGAGACACTAAGACACTGTTTACAGATATTCTTATCTATGACTTCTCCCTGACAGTCTTGAATGTGGGGAAAGAGTCACAGAGAGGGAATAAACACTAAATCAGAAAAAAACATTATCAACAAAGGGAGGTCTGGAAGCTACATCCACTGAGTCCAAGGTTTTGATGCTGTTTGAAAGGAGGTGAGAACCATCAAGCTACAGCTTTGCATTTGTTATCTCCCATTAATTCTTTGTCCTTTTTCCAAAAAATATAGTATCCCCAAATTCCTCCAAAGATCTCTTCTAACTGAATCAGATTCCTAACTGCAGGCCCTGCTCAACAAGACACAATTTGTTAGCCTTTGCCATCCTTCTTTGTTACAATGGGAGAGATGCTGCTATCAGTAAAAGCATTTTGTTGAAGCCCATGGTAGTCATAGCAAAGGCACCATTTGGCAATTGAAAACTTTAAAAATCCAAATCCAAGCTTTTTTTTTGGGGGGGGGGGGTGAGGGTGCAGTGGGGCAAATTTGAAGGTGGAGTTCACATGTGATTTCACGGCAAAAAAATAACTAATTTTATACCACTTCTGCTTGGAAAGACACAAAGGAATGGGAAAAACAAGTTAGGTGGCCCACAGACGTGGCAATTACTGGTACAAAAACTATATGGATATTACAAAAGAAGCCAAGAGCAAGGGAGCCAGCAGTCCCCTGCCTGCCATACCAGCATAAGCAGGAACAAAAAATTGTGGTACCTGACTCAGATAGTTCTCAGAAGACGGAATTTCAAGTATGTCTGGCATTTAACTGCTCTCTGTCATGAATGCCTAGATAAAGACACAATATACTGAGTTTAGCCTTACTTTGGACTCCACTGGAAAGTTCATTATGGCATCTAGGTCAGTGAATCCCACAAGAGATGGTCTACCTGCCAGTTCTATAGTGAACAATAAAATAAATTAATAAACTGTCATACTTCTCTGCAGGTTCATATACCTTGAATGTATCTCGCTGTGTCAAATATCCTTTTCTTTAATTTCAAAGCTCAGCACAACTGGATCTCTGGAAGCCCAATGGAAAGAAGGGCCATTTGTAGCAGCGAGCCTTCACTGATCAGAAAGCACAAGCTCCCCAACCCTGACAGCTTCAGAAAATGCAGAAAATAGGAGCGAGCAGAGAAACAAGTGTAAGGCGTAGGGACTAGTGCTTTGGTAATTTTTGCTTTTGGTAATTTACCACTGCAAAGTGATGTAGTCCCTTCTTCTCCCTCCTCCAGTCACTTTGGATTTTTTTGGTTTTTTTCTTTCTGCCTCTGCTTACCACACTCATAAATTATATTTCTCAACCCAGTTTAAGTATTCATTGATTCCTGTCTGGGCTAGGAGAAAGAGGAAAGCGCCATATCCAGCACTAGGAATACTCTCCCACCTGCCTGCAGTATCAACAAGACTTAAAAAAAAAAGAACAGAACAAGACACAACAGCTTCAGGGAGGTTTTAGCAAGACACACAGAAAGTTCTACACTGGGTGAGAGTTTACCACAACTACCGAGGAGTTAACTCCTTTACCTCAATATATAGAAATACCCATGAGTTTATCATGGAAGATCCTTATGTTCAAGTTCATTCACATCCCGTAACCTTCTTTTGCGAGTCTGCAATCATTCAAGACAACCAGTTGCACAGGTCTGAATGGAAATATTGTAATTAATTTTGAGGAACCAGGAAAGCTGGAAAAAGACAGGGGCCAGAGGTTTGGCAATACCACACACATCCAAACCAACAGCAGTTACCAGACCCATTTCATTTCCTGGAGGATTAAAAACCAAGCCCCATTCTCTTACCTTCCTTTGTTCATGCAAGGAGTGACAAAGTACCTACCTTTGCATTTAGATACTGTTCTCCTGCTGGGGGTTGGACTGGCAGAGACAGCTTCTGCAGCAAATGCCCATCAAACAGCAGCCGTTGGTTAGAAAGGGGCCTGAAGCCAAGGAAGAGCCCTTAAAACTCTTCTTTCACACAGCAAAACTGTCAATTAATTAAAACATTTTGGAGAGTATAAGGAAAACTGTTCACTTTCTCTTTCTTCAGCTCTAGGACAGGGGAAGATGGAGCAGATGACAATTTTTCTGGTTACGAGTGGTGTGGGGAGGTTGAGGGACCAATAGCCCCCAGAAGCTCAACTCGCAACTGGCATTCCCACGTTATCTGATTAATAATGTAGTTGCTTATGCTAAACCAGTTTTCCCTCAATTTACCTTACTGTTTCCTACTCTTTACTCCCTTCACCCCTGCTTTCTCTCACAGTGTGTGTTATTGTATGATTCTATGATTATATGTTTGTATTTCACTGTATTTTTAAACTCAGTCATTAAAACCCAGGTTGCAGGTTTGCTGGTGTGTAGAAATTATCAGGTAATCTTTCCCTTCTCCAAATACCCATTTCATTCTGTCTCATTTGCATTACGAATCAATATGGAGTATGGTTCATTTTGCAGCTCCCATTTCTTTGCTGCAAGGGCAAAATCTCTGAAATTCCCCTGTAGACTTACGGGTTGTGAAGATAAAGGGGCTTCTCCGCAGTCCTGCGAAGGTCTTCGGTGAGGTTTCAGGAGGGAGGAATAACGAACGCTGTGAAAACATCAGAGCTGCTGTGAAGGCAAGCTAACTGTTGGAAACCTTTGGTGTCCCAAGCCCTAGCACACACAAACTAGAGGAGATTTCCTTTAAACTCACTTCAGATCTTTTTTAGCCTCTGGGATATGGAGGAGGCTTCCTCCTGCCAGAGTCAGGCGAGCGGTGGTATTCCTGATGCCACCCGTCTTGTCCACTGCAGTTAGAGCTGCCAAGAGAGACAAGTGAAAAACACACATCATTTCACAGTGAACAGGTTTAGAAAGGCAGCTTTCAGCTGAACCTCGGGTGTTTGTTTGGAAGCTCCTTACCGCGGTTTTTAGTCACCCCTCCTTTCCTGACAGGGTAAGCAGATTCCACTCCATTAACTGTATCTCCCTTGGGTTCTCTGTTCAAGTTAAAAAGAAAGTTCTCAAAGAATTTGGAGGGCACATTTGGGACTCGCGTACAACACGACAGCGGTTTGTTTGCAGCGGCTTAATTTAAATTGGATTTCACATCAATTCATTGAACAGCTGAGGAACCCTGTGTGGACACACTTACTTGCCTTAAGAGTTGGCTTAAAATCAGTTCCTAATCGATTTAAGCTCCACTGATCAGATTTAAATATATATTTAAAAGGTCAACACAACCTTTTGCATTGATTTAATGAAATGATATTGAAAGCAGTGCTTGAGTAAACTGGTGCAGCTCTGTGTAAAAGCTGTCCGAATTAGTGTAATATGGATTGTCAAAAGATGGAGAAACATTTCTCCCCCTCAAAGCTTGCAAATTCAATCTCCTGATTGAATGCTAGCAAGATAGAGGCTGATGGATCTCTCCTCTGACGGAGCCATGCATTGATTTTATCATTAGATATACAAAACAAATGCCTAATTCAGTAATAGGCACATTTTATGCCTTTCCTTGATGGTGTTGATCCTCGCCCTACATATACGTATTTCACATTTCAAAAATCACATTTAGTCCCTCTTCAATATGACAGTTCAAAATTCAGGCCTGGGAATGTTTTTGAAATTATGATCTTTAAAAGATTATAATCTGGAAAGATAGGACCTTTTTAAAAATTTAGATAAATAACAGCATGAAAGGATCACTTATGTCAGGAGCCTATTTCACTGTTTAACAGGTGCAGATATTCACTATAAATTAAATCTCATTTGTGCTGAGTGGTTGAATTGCTGAGGAATCACTTTATTGGTATGTGAAATATTTACTATGTATAGCTGGACAGCTTCCCAGGAATTCTGATGAAACACATTAATGCACAAGAAAGAACATCCTGTCTTCATAAGACTTGTGAAAACTTAAGCTTTGCTCCTCTCAATATCTTATACAGAGCTTTTAAAATTATTTGAATTGTCCATACAAATTTACCTAGAATAACGGCTAAGAAGGATCTTTTTAGGTAGAAAATTATCTCTCCGTTGAGTAAAGCTGCTGTTATAAACATGAATATCCAAAAAAACCCCCCTCTTTTATTTAAATCACATTTTTCTTCACCGTATTTAGAAATTGCCTTTTTCTTATAGAAGGGTGAGAAATCACATACTGCTTTAAACAATTTCAGATGCCCAAAAGAGAAGGGTGATATTGGGATCACTCCAAAAAGCACATGAACTTAGAAGCCAATAACTAACATTTGGCTGGGAATTATTTGCATGTGTCCTTTGAATAAGAAGCATTATTTGCTAAGAATGATTTATTTAGACAATTTGGCTATGGATTTCTTTATCTGTGTAACAACCAAAATATGGTACAAAGGTAGGAGAGACTTCCAGCTACTACCTAAAAGTCCTCGGTTCCCACCTGTAATGTGAGATCTGGGTTTGCTATGTAGAGTAATGGATCTGCATGACAAATACAGACAAGTTTAGCTCTTAGAGTGTTATAATATGCAAGAAAAAAGGACATCAAGAGCAGGTTTACACAGACAAGAAAAGTTTCAAACAAGTGTAGGCCACATTCCTTGCAGCTGAGGAGCCACATAAAAAACCCAACCTAAATTAAACAGCAATAAAAGCCAATATGAACTGTGTTATATTAAAAAGCTAATACTGAGAGCCATGAAAGCTCAAGAGTTTACATGAGCAGCCTATAAAACACTAATGTAACTAACAGGGAACTCTGTTGAAACCATCCCTCTGCAAATCCAAAACTATATTAAAAAAAAAAAAAATCAAACTATTTCCAGGACCGGGAATAACAGATGTATACAAATTTGCAAGGTTAAAATGTGTTCTCTGTTCCTGATTCACAGGTGTATGTCACCAAAATAATTTTCAAGGCTATGTTTCTCTGAGATGAAAGCGAGCCCTCCATCCCACCTGGTATAAACTGCCTCTGAGTTTAAGTTCAGGGAACCTGAACACCAGTGGTACAATTACCTTTCCATCCTGTAAACACAATGGCTATGCAGTGGACTGCTCAGGATAGTCTGAAGAACTCCTCTAGACTGGCTGTGAACAACAGTATTTCTGTTATTTTTGCACAGATCCTTGTAACAGTATTTTGAATATTCATGCTTTATTCCAGTTACATGGAAAAGCCCAGGTGCACAGGGCAGCGTGTGTATGTGTGTGTTGGCTTTGGCTCCAGAGTGAGGACACTTTGTTCTCTGAACAGTCAGGGAAAGAGTGTGAAAAAGAGGCAACAGTTTTTTATTTATTTACTATGATGCACAGAAAACTGCTGGGAAGCAGCCAAGGGTTAAATCTTTCAAGTTTTTTTTCCCAAGAAGATACAAACTGCCCAAGTAACAAGTGGATGAAGCCATGAACACTGCATACATTAGGCTAAAACCATTGTGCTAGTTTATTTTGACTCTACAATTGCAGAATAAGTGAAGAAAGTGTCTTTTTTATTTTAACATTGAGTATTTTAATTGAAAGGGGAATTGTAGCTTCTGCCATTAGTGCTAGCACATTCATAGAGATTTGCAAAAAAAGAACTTACTTTCTCACAGAATGGAAGTTGCTTTCCGGCCCCATATGCGAAAGCTCTTGTAGAGCTTCTAGTCTCAGTATATCCACCTAAGACAGCAGCAGTCACGTGGAGAACGGTCCTTCGAGTAAAGGAGTGGCCAGATCAGCTGGGAGACATTTTTGCCATAACTCGAATGCATCGTTAATACTTAACGTTTCACATACTCGTTAGAGCATGTCAGGAACATCAGTCACTTCCATCAAGACTGGAATTCACAGGAGCAAAAGTCCCACCCTACCAGCTAAACCACTGCTGGGATAACGCTGGGAACAAGCGTTCCTGTTTCCACAGGCTCAGCAATACCTCGGCTGGCCTTTTTACGAAGATCAGCTGAGGGGACGATATGCAATAGCAGACCATACAGGAATCATACTTCCAGTCAGGGACTGGACCACACCAGCTCAAGACTGGTCTAATCTCAGCTATTAACTCAGGAGATTTTACACCTGGGAGCAGGGGAAAGGACACTTTAAAACTTTTATACATTAAACAGTTACAAAATTAATTACAATTCATATTGTTAACTTTTCTAAATCAGTTCATCTTCTACTTAACATTTTGTTCTTTTTATAAACGTGTTTCTTGAATAAAAAAGCTAGAAATAAAGAATCAACTTCTGTCTTGCCTCAGATTTTTATAGTAAAAAAATGTTTTTAATCTTCTAATTTATGTAACTATTTCAAAGTTGGGGGAAGAGGATATGATGTCTGCAACAAACATAAATTTCAAGAATGCTTCTAGTTGCCATGTGGCTGCTAAACAACACTCTCTTTTGAAAAAAATAACACACATAATAAAGGAGATAATGCGAACTGTTGTTCTTTGACACTGGCAACCTCTAAAAACTTCCTGAAACAGATTAAAAATTATCATCAGTCCAGTCTCCTCCAGATAAAATGAAATAATACTCTGCAGCATGATCAGGTTACGAGAGACTGAATGGAAGAGCCTGAGCAGAGCAAAATTCAAAATGGAGCAAGGCACACTGAGAGCAAAATAACGTTACGACTGACTTGAAAAGAGAGAGGAAATAATGAATTCAAAATAAGCAACAGAGACTGCCCATCACTGTGCGCTCACTTTGCAAGTGCTACTCAACCCAGTCACTTCTCTTGGATTAGTTACGGAAAAGAGGAAAGTCGGTGTGTATCTACTTCCCCCTGTTTGAATGGAAAAGGCAGCATGCAGAAAAGCACACGGTGCTGTGCAGGGCTGGCTGTATGCAGGCTCACACCCCTTCTCCTCCAGGCACGGAATAAAGCTCTCACGGAGACATCCTCCTGGTCACTGCTTGGGGTTGGGACAGGCTGCCTGGGTCAGTCTCCTCCAGACCTTCTCCAAACTTTTTTCAGGGCAAATCCAGGTTATGGACCTTGTAAAAGGTCACCTCTTCTTTTAACTATGCTCAGTGGCATTCGTATCTTCCAGCATGCAATCTGGAGCAAGCTTTCTAATGGAAACGTTGTTCTGAAAACATAGGGTGACAGGACGGAAACATCTCCTGCCACAGTATGTTTATTCCCTGTTAGATACACTCTAGCTGGATCAGTACAAGTTTACCAAGTGGGATGGAAAAAAGTTGGAGGTACATGAAATCTGTATTGTGCCTGTTAGGCTTCAAATATGAAGCAAGAGCAGCAACCAGACATTGAGGATTTCAAGGGAAGACCTTTGCTGTTGAAGAGGTTAAAGTGATCAAAAGTAACAGCACACAGAGAGTTTCGAGGATGGGCCTTTTCTAAAACCCCCGATCCTGAGTCCAGAATGTAACCTAACAGGCAACCTCGATTCACAGGATGACTCAATTCTCTCCTTTGCACTTACTCCTCAGGATCTGGGGTTTTTCTTTCACTTTGTGTTGGTACGAGTAGTCTAAGCTCTGCAAAGCCAGGTGATTCAGGGAATAGATGGAAGACTTAGATAACATCTGGACTATGCTCATGTCCTGCACAATTGCTTATTTTAAGGGAACAGACATGGTGGCAACAAGAGGGGCAGGCCCCAGTGTAGTATGGATCCAGGTCCAGAGGAGTCACTTTGCAGCCCCTTATGCAACTTTACATTTAATTTTTTAAACATACAACGATTATATTAAGTATTGGGGGGGAAAAGGATAAAAAGGAGATGGCACTATTTACTGGAAGAACTGATTTTCTTTTGTGTGTGTGTGTACGTGTCCAAGACCTTTTCTAGCAGAAGAGAGTCATGTGACGCATATGTCTCTTCATCGCTTATCTTCTTCCTTCCCTCTCTGGTTCTTCGTCCTTTTGGGTTTGCTCTCCTTGCTAAACTCTGAATGGCCCCGTTGGGCAGTTCTGGGGACCCTGAGAAATGCAACTGAAGGAGGAGATGAAGTTCAGAGCCGTAGACATTTTTACAGAAGTACAGTCACCGTTCCACTGTCGAGGCTAAACTGAACCCACAGCAGGTATCCAAGCTGTTCATTAAACATATGAAGTTGCTCCTCATCCTCCTTATAATGCCTGTTGGGGCTGTAGGGGGCAAGCAAAAAAAGATACATAGATTTTTAATGATGGGGTTGTTAACAGCTGGAGCAAATGACTGAAAGAAACAATTCTCCACCTCATCCTTCTCCCTCCCCCAACCTTCAGATCAAGGCTTGATGCCTTATTGAGGGATCTGCTGCCGTCACACACGGGCTACCAGGCTCAGCACTAAATTGAGGAGGTAAAATGCAATGGCTTTAATAGGAAGGTGCTCAAACTACTCGATCAAAGGGCCTCCTACCCTTTCATTCAGTGACTCTATTAACTGAAGATAGGCAATATTCTAGAGGATTTTCAACACTCCTCTATTAGCTTGTGACTCATTAAAAATGGAGTCCTTAAGAAATGTAGCATTTGGTGCATTTCTTGTCTTAAATGAGCTTAGAGAAACAGCTTATCAGTCGTTTAATTTATTATTAACATTCACTAAAATTTCAGAGAGAGTTGCACACTGGAGTAAAATAGCTCTCATACCTAATTGCTGAGATTAATTTGCAGTTATCAGTATATTAGGAATTCAGGTTTGCACTACAATCCTCCTTCCCATTAATCGCTACACTTGTTCTATTTTATTTCTCTAAGAAACTAAGTTAGAATGATACATTTGGGCTCAAAACTCACATAGTTTACAGTTCTGAATTTCAAGAGTAATAATCACATCTTACAGATAGCACATTCTCACCTTTTTTGGAAAGGCACTCCTCAGGTGAGAATCACAGAATGTCATCTCCTCAAAAGCCTCATACTGCAGGGAAATTACATTATAAAACTGAAAAAACCCTCGAAGATGGAGGCAAGGTTAAGGTTACATGGCTGTGATTTACAGTAAAATATATTACAGAGATAATGCAATTATTTAAACTGCAAGAATTATAAACCCTGGAAATTCTAAGGTAAAATGAAATTTAACAAGAAATCCAAATAAAGCATAAAGAAATGAAGAGTCAAATATCTGACCAATCTTAATTATGCTTAGAGAAAATCTCTTCTAAATCTCTAACTAGCTAGAAGTCACAACATTTGTTTGCATAATATGCGTGTGTTTGCATATATAGACTAATACACACATGCTTCTGAAGATGAATCAGACCTTTCCACTTTATAGTGTGGAACTGAAAGTTCATGAGAAACCTCTCTCTGTTCTGCAGCGAAGGGCAAAAAACACAGCATGCCTTTACAAATCTCCTAATCATATCCAAGTCCACAAATGTAGAACTATCTCAATACGAACTGTATGTTTTTGCCTGGTTACAGTCACCACAGTAACACCCATGTAGCTGTTAAAAAGCTTATCTCCTGGAAAAAAAAGAACAGGGTAAAAGCATAAATTAGAAAGCGATATACATACCAGATATCCGCAATGCATCACAGGAACCTCGGCGGTACCTTATGGAATCTGGCAGCAAGTGAGAGGTCAGTGCAATGAGCACGCCGGAGGCTACGGCTCCTTCGGCTGCAGGCTGGTACCTCTGCAAGTCCGGAGGGAGAACACTCAGAAGGACACTTGGAGATTTACGGCCTCCGTGACAGGGGCAGCTGCGTGGGGATGCCAGGACCGGAGATTCCCGAGCTGTCGGTCGGGCCGCGTCTCTCTGCCCCTCTGAGAACGAGAAGACACGTGCAACTGGGCTGAGGGAGCGTAACTCTCCTAATCCCTGATGCCACACCAAACCTTGTCCATCCAAGAAGCGATGTTAAAAATGTTAAGCGGTTACCAGATCAAAAGGGGATCCTGATGGCGCATTAGGACAACAGCGCAGAAATGCCAACGCAAATGACAAACTTCACAGAGGCCACTACATAGAAACGATCGGCCTGCCAAAAGGGGGTACGGAAGGGCGTTCGCAGGCAGTATCATCTGCCTGCTTCTGTAGCCTGGTAAGAGACCCGCGCTGAGAAAGCCGACCCCCCCCCCTTCTGTACCATTAACAGCTGCCCTTTCTCTGAACGACCACAATGCTGGCAAACATGTCCACGACCGAGATGCAATACCATTAATTACAGAGGTATTGCTTATAGCTCCCAGAGGCAAAACTGATATTACATGTTGCCCTTTGTGTGCACATTAGACTAGAAAAAACAAAGTACATTATCCCCAAACTTAAAGCATTACCTTTCTGAGTAAAAGATTCACATGAGAAGAAGTTACCTGACATCTGCTAACTATTTCCTGGGACAAGAGTCAGACTGCTTAATCTTAACTTGGGTCAGTGGCCAATCCCATTTTGCATTAATCTCTCAAAAGGAGACATAGAGGCAGAAGCCTTGTTCTGCCTAGGAATAAAAAGAAGCTGAGCCTCCCTCCTCCTCACACAATATTATTCCTATTGGCCCAATTTACTGACAAAAAAACCCGCAGTGAGCCTATTTCCCTGGAAAGAATAGCATTTCAACCAGTTTTTGCTGGACTGCCAACTTCTCCTAGTTGATCACTGAACGACACGCTGAGTGTTCCCACCTTCTGCTGCCATGATATTCTGCCCAAATCATGAAAAAAAGAAATTCCTTTAAAAAGCCACAGGCTCTTCATGGCCTTGAGAAAACCAACACAGAGCTTCAACCACTGTCAGTTCTGGCCCACCACAGCATGTCTGAGACCAGCATTCCCAAGAAGCTTCCAAACCAAGACTGCACATCTCTCCTGCAGTGCTACTTGTTTCCCCATCATCCAAGAAGAAGGAACATACTGAATCCTACGGTAGCCATTCTTACTCCTGGGTCTACAACCAGCTTTCTTGTTAAATTTTTCTTTGCTCAAGGATCTAGTCATCAGGCTTACCCAGACAGGAATTATTTTTTTCTTTACCATTGTTAATGGATAACTCTGTCATGGTAGTTAAAAAGGCATATGTGGTATGAGTCAGCAAGAGAAGGTAATGCACGTGGAGGACCTGCCAATTCTTCCTTGTTCCTTTCTGCCCGTCTTCTGAAGAGTCTGGTTTTGGTTAGCCAAATATCAGGTGGTGCTTCAGAGAAACAACCAGGTGGGCTGAGGCACAACTTGTCCCAGCACATAGGAGTTCATTGCTCCGCTTGCTGCTGGCGAGGAAGGCTCAGAGCTGGCAGCCAGTTAAGACAGCAAGACAAACTGCAAGAAGGTGAAAGGACCTGAGGGGAGAAATTGAGTGCTATTGAGCCCACCGTGCCTCACTATCCATTTTGATTATAAATTCTGCTTTAAAATGTAAGTTATTGTTACACCTCTGAAATATAATAAATTGTGTAAGTCAGACCCGCTCCTAGAGCCAGCGTTTTGAAAGTGTCCAAATGATGATTTTTAATCAAGTAGAGGCTGAGCGTGCATGTAGGGAGCACATATAACAGCGATGCTGTAATGATCTCAGAAAATTATAAACTTAAATGCAGTTTAGATCTGCATACTAATGAAGAGATGCCTATATAGGGTCCTAGACAACTCAGTTTAAAAGAAATCAAAAAATGTCAATTTATTGCAGTGCAGGGTTTCGTTATCCAATTACACAAAGTATTAAGCATCTCATCATCATTAAGACATTTTTGTCATTTATCTCATATAGATTTTTTTCTAAGTTTAACCCTAACTCTTTTTGCTTTATGGTAATTCTTCTGGGAGTAATTACTAAATTTCCATAGCAGCAATTTGGGTAGTATAAGAGCACATAAACTCAGCCTTGCTCCCTCCATCATAATGAAGATTTTGCCTAGAAATGTACTTTTTCCCCTTCACATTATTTAAAATATGACACATGATCAATAACATAAAACTGCAGAAAACTTTCTCATATGATAGTTCTATTGATTTTTAAAGGAAATAATTAAACTAACTGTTAAGACCAAGTTCATCAATACAATCCGACTCCTTTGTTCCCCCCTCCTGAGCAGGACAAATCAATCAGGGTCTCCTGGTTAGCATAACCAGTTTCCTAGAGCTATTGCACCACTCTGACAACATACTGAATAGCCATTTCATACCCTGTTCTTCCCTCCTTGCTCTCACATCCACCTGCACGCACAGCTCCAAATGACACCCTTCTGAATCTTCTCTATTGCACTGTACATTCCCCAAACCCTCCATCTCCATTCTCTTCTACGTGCTCCCTCAGTTTGCTTCTTCCTATGGCATCAGGTTCCTTTGCAAAATAACAAATGCAATTTTAGGAAAGACATACTGTATTTTTCACAGATAACAGAGATAGAATGCCAAATTGTGTTAAATGCCAAATTTCTTTCCACTTTGATGACAGAAGCATATCTGCAAATTAGCACCTCTGCTCAGACTGTACTTTAACAACAGGACTCTCCTACCAACTAGTTCTCTGCAAGGCAAAGCAGGCCCCTGGTAGAAGGTGAAACGGGAAAGCCAAGAAAAGCCTCCTGGGCTTCCTCTGAAAGCAAAGCAACTTCTCCACAGGGATGGGCGGCTCTCATTTGAAAATTTTCTCTCATACTCTGATGCCCTTAAGACCTGTGCCATGGTTGGAATGAAATCTCTCCCCAAGTTAACTTGCATATACCTCAATTTCTCTTTCACTTCCAGTGATCCCACCAACGCCTTCATCAAGCAGCTGGCAACTTGCGCTGCCACCGAGAGCTGCTCCTGCACCCAAGTGGTTGGAGTGAGGAACCTCTTCCGTGGCAGTGACAGACGGTAAATCTGGCAGGATGGGACTGGCGACTGGGGAGGTAAGCCACGGGAATGTGCAGCCAGAGACGGGATTCTTTAGAGTTTCTCGACGAAGGTCATGTAAAATCTTCATGGATTTGGTTGTATTCAAGGGACACTGCAGCATGTGTGTAGGTCCCAGATGATACTCTGACTATCCACCTCTGCAACAAGCCAGAAAAGGCCTTCAAAAATTTAGGTTGATAAGATTCAAATTTAATACATTCTGCAAAATGCACTTTTCTTTACATTGAACAACAGATTCCAAACATTAGCAGCAGTTTATGCTGAAGAAACGGTGGAACACTGTGGAAGAATTACAGCATATGGGGCAATGCACAGCCTAAATCAGACACACTTAGCATGGTGGAGCACAGCAGCCCTAACAGATCCATTGCTCCCCGCTCAGCAGAGTCACAAACACTTCTTCACTGACAGAAACATTCATCCGCAACATTCTTAAGATCTATTGGTGTTTGCAAGTTGCAGGATTTTCCTGAGAGGAGGAGGAATTAGTGTGTGCCTACATTTGGCAATGTTATTTCAAGTCCAAGATAGGTTACAGGTAATTCATAAATGTCCCTGAAAAATAATGCTCGTTCTGGAGGTGCTTATATCTATTCAACAGCCATGCAACTCGATGGCCTAAGAAATTACTTTCTACAAATTGTTTTATTTTAAAAATAACTTTTTAATATGTATTTCAAAAGCTTATTTACACTAAGTACAATCATTAACTCCATTAGGTACATGGGCAGATGTGCAGATCAGCACACACATGTAGCTCTCGGGTTAATGTTATTTTAGGCTGCTTACATAGTTCCAAAATCTAAGATTTGTCCCAGTTGACATGGCTCTAACAGGTGTAATTGGAACAACACACGTGTTACAGATCAGAGCACCAAAAGTATTCATCAGTTCTTTGTCCACACGTAAAAGGCCTTCCTTCTAACAATTCAACTGTAACACATGAGCATCTAACAAAGGCTCCCATTAGAGATCAGCAGATTCTCTTAAACAGGTGAAACTTGATACACTAAACTCTGTAAAAGGATTTACTTTTTGTCATGTTTAGACAATAAAATTATGGCATGTCTTGGCTGCCTTTCAAGTGCCAAATTCAAACCCCAGTGCATGCACCCAGCTCCCATTAAAAGCAATGAGAGATGCAAGACACTGCACATTTAGCCTTCACTAAGTGAAATGAAACACAGAAAAGAAAAAAAAAAAGGAAGGGGGAAAAAAAAAAAAAAGCAGATTTTGCTAAAGGTTACACAGCAACAGAGCCAGAGGTTCAACTCAGGAACCCTGACCTCCTCCCCCACGATTCTGACTACGTCCACTGGGGGGAATTAGGGCAAACCAGGGAAGAGGCAGTGACATCGATTAGAAAGCAAAATGGATTAGGAAGCAGTGACGTTATAGTGGGTCAAAAATAGACAATATAGGAAGAGAACAGAAGAGAAAAAGAAAGAAAATTGAGAATAACAGTTGAAAAATACTGAAAGCTACCATCAGAAAGGATGTAAGATGATGTGATGCAACAGCAAGCATAAATAAAAGGAGATGAACTGATGAGAGGCACTTTTCAGACACATTAAATAGCTGATTGTCAAAATATTTTCAGTAAACACACAGATGCCACGTTTGCCTCTAGTAGGTGTTTCTACTACTGCATACAATGGCCTGGGTGGTAGGCTGATGTTGAGCGAAGACAACTCTTCTCTCTACTCCTCATCCATCCTAGCCCCCAATCACATTTGCAGCTGCCTCAAAAATATTATCACAGAGCATTAGTTACTGACTGCACTTGGCAAAACCCAAAAGGCAGCTGTGATAGTGCCCTCAGAGTTTTGAAAAGGAGAATTACTTTAAATTTCATATAAAAGCTGTATAAAGACTTGAGACTCGCCACAGGGCAGACTTCAAAAGTACACTGCTGAAGTTGCTGGCACTTACAGCATAAACCAGAAAGGTGCTGTGACTGTCCCAGAAGCAGGACACCTCACATCTAGGTGACAACCAGCAGCTCACCAGTGGAGTCCAGCACAGCCAACACAGCCCTGCTTCCGAGGGTAGAAGCGGGCTCAGTACTGGAATGGACATTTGGGACAAAAAGAAGGGAATGTGGAAGACGGCAAGAATGGGTGTGTTCAACCTCCTGAGCCCTACCTGTCCTTTCTGAAATTACCAAACATTCAAGTAAGCTGAAAGACCAGATGAGATGATGTTCCCTGCTGCTGGCCTATTTTGCATAGGTCTGAACAAGGCCCAAACACATCCTTATCCTTAAAATACTAAAAGCGTTCTCCACAGGCTTCAGTTATAACTACCTCCCAACCAAACCCATCTTCCTGACTACCAAAACCCCTCCTTCCAGGGCTCTGTAAAAATCAAAGCTGTCTGACACACTTTTATTCCCCCAAAACAGCATTTATCAGACCTTCATTCCTCAAAATTTGACTGTTGTGAAATTACTGCTAAAGGGGAAAAAATGGGACCTTGGTCTTAGCAGTTGTACCTATGCATCTGGAGAGGGACCAGGCAGAAGCCCTGCTGGTGGCACTGACAAAATTCATCCCTCCAAGGGCACCACAACAGATGGATCCACACAGCAGATGGATGAATCCGCCCCCATGTCCTACAACAGCTCAACACCAGCACTAATCAAATCAGAAGGAAAATGCACACAGAAGAGGTTGCTTTGCTTTTTCATTCCTCAGTACCCAAGCCTTTTGCATTCCACTTCCCAGCCCCAGTCTTGGAAACAGCCATCAATTGTCCACACCCTCCATCGCTTAACAACTACAGCCAGCTACAGGGATCGCATGCATCACTGGAGGGCTGTGTCTCCCGAGGAGGATGCAAGAGGCAGAGAAGGGGCATCATGAGCTGCGGCCACAGATCTGCTCGATGTGGTAGATCTCCTTGGGACAGTCAGCAGACAAGATGAGAGGCGCATCCTCTGTTATCACAACATCATCCTCAATGCGCACACCAATGCCACGAAACCTCTCTGGCGCACTCACATCGTCCTCAGGGATATAAATGCCTGAAAGAAGGAAGGGAATTAAAACATACAACACTCTCCAGAACAACACATTTCCCTTACTGCACCACCGTGAGAGCAGGGTTGGATTTTCAGCAATAACATGAGTTTGATCCCAAAATTTTTTAACAAGGAAAGCTACTCTTTTCCCTCACCCATGGCAGCTGGTGGGCTAAGAAAGGAAAGTGTCCCTTAGTGCCTAAAGACACTAGCATGGTAATAAAAACCTCCACAATTACAGCTGGCCTTTCCGCACTTCTTGCTCTCCATGCTATGTTCACAATGATGATTTTAACAATGTTCTGAATAGAGAGAGAAGAGCCAAGCATTAAGTACCAGTTTCCAGCTGACAGCTCCAAATCCAGTGACAAGCAGAAAGAAAGATTCATGGTGAAATGCCTAATTTGCAAAGCTAAGTTGTGAATGCCTGTAATTGCAGACTGCAATGCTTGAGACTTACACTACCAGTGACTGGTAGTAGTTTAGTCACAGTAACACAAAACACAGCACAAGTTAATTTAGCCTGCTTCTCTGCACTGCAATTGACCTGCACTGCTGTGGGTCAAACAGCAGCAGTCTGAGGTCTATAACACTCTGCCTTCTGCTGCACAGACATTTTTTGAGAGTTTACTCCCATAATTTGTTACCTTGGCTGTGCTTGGGAGGGAAATAAGGTTTTCTAATACTGCAATCATTTTCAATTTCACCAGAAAGGACCTGAATGCTTCGGTCTGAGGGATCAACTAACTACCCAAAGCAATACTGTTATCCTCAGTGTTGGCATGTTTTTGTCCACCACTGACTGCATCACTTTTTACCTGGTTCAATGGTTATCACCATGCCTGGCTGGAGTGGGAGAGATCGGGATATATCTGGGGTATCATGAACATCCATGCCCAAGTAATGGCCCACATGATGTGGGCAGTACTTTCGAACAGCCTAGCAGAAAACAAAACAAGTGTCACGGAGGCAGTTAAACACAGCCTAACCTGTTCTAATACAAAAGGTGGGGAGAAGAGACAGAACAGTTATGTGCTTAACTACCAACCTTACTGCCATGACTAGGTCACCAGGGGCTGCCTTCCACTTACCAGAACTGGATGGCCCTCAAAACCCACCAGTACCATGTGCCTATTATGAGCATATTGCCCACTGCCTTTCCCCCTCACTGAAAAGAACAGCCTAAGCCCATCACCACCTCAGCATGTCAGGTAAGACTTCAGTTTTCAGCTCACTGAGCTTTGCTACCCCAACCCTTTCCATCCCTTACACATCCAAGCCCTATGTTGCTCCCATCAGCAGACCCGGACAACTGGCAGCAGCTGACACAGCTGCTACGTGATGTGGCAAAGACGTCTCCTACGCACGACAGAGCAAACGCTGTGCTGATTTCACTCAGTAGCTACAGCAGGATTCTAATCCACCTCTACAGGTCACAGATACTGCCTCACCCGCACACCCTCCTAATCCCCCTCCCTCCAGAGAGGAGCTCCCTGACAGCAGGCATCAAAGAGCTAATTCTTCCTCTGCCCCACGCTCCTCACATTCACTGGGGAGTGAGCTGCTGACGCTGCTCTCGTCTGGCTGTGCTGCCGCCTGCCGAGAGAAACCGGCATGATAGCCTCCGTTCTCAGGCAAGAACTTGTGCTGTTGTTGCACTGACGCTATAGGACAATTAAACCTGGCAGAAATCTGTCCTGCTGCCAAAGAGGTAGTTCCCTCACTCGGTTCCACCATCTTTCTTGTATTGGCATCAGCAGTCATGAAGGTTTGCAGTGAGTGGGACCGGATAAACTTCTTTAACTGCAACCCAATCCTATCTGATCTGCAGGTTCAGCTCTAAGGCAGACCAGTTTCCTGGTCTTATTCACCAGGTAGCTCTGTGAATCCCAATACTGACACAAAATGGTGCAGAAGAGGCAGCAGGTGGAATGACTGAGAAGAATGGGCTGCATGTTTTGGTGGCACTGCAGATTTATGCTATGTTAAACAGATCACAAAACTATGACTAATTGCCTGCAGCCAGCCCTGGACCCAGAATTTTGTGTTAGTGCCACTGTCTCTATAGGTCCCTTCAGACTGTCTGTACCCTAATGCTGCATCTACACTAACAAGTAGTGCAGACCAATGGCAATGGATCTGCAGAGTGTAATAGCAAGTGCCAAGGAACAAATGTTCACACTGTGCATGTAAGACTGGGGAGTTACTTCAGACGAAATTGCGTGCTGAATGGTTAAACACATCTTCAAGTTCAGCCTTATCTGAGAGAAATCCAGTCCTGGGTTGAGACCAGCCCACAACATGAATTAAAGCACAGTGTGTGGTGACAATTAGAAGATACATCTCAAAAGCACATTCCTGAGCCAAACTAAAGCCACTAACATAATCCAAGGAGAAAACAGTCAAGCCTAGTAGATGGAAGCTGTAGTAAAAAAACTTCAGGTACCTTGAAGAAGTGGCTCTCAGTGATGCTGTTCTTCAGGATCCCCAACTCTTTCAGTTTCTGTCCAATAAGGCTCAGCATGAGGCTGTAGATATTTTCTAGGCTCATGCCTGGGGAGCAGAGGCTCAGGCAGGACTTCTGGATATCCAGGACAGCCTGGTATAGTTCTGCTTGGGGTTTGGTGAACCTGAAAACCATTGAGAAAAGGAACAAAGGACATTTCTCACAATTTAACCTCTCCCCAGAACCTATTTTGGGGACAGATTCAGTTCTATGTTGGAGAAGGGAAAGTCAGAAAGGAACGCAACTGGCTCCTTACATGAAATGCCAGACAAGGCATCACTGCAACATGCCCTTCAATGCACTGGGTAGAGGCAGGGTTTCTCAGCTGACAACCTAACCCCAAAGCAAAGCAAGGCAAAGCTACCGCAGGAAAAAGAACACACTTGAGCCAAAACATCCAGGAATCAAACACACAACCACAGGGACATCACACCAGCAAATTCACAACTGACAGAGCCATGTACAGGTCAACTAAACTCCTGTTTTCTTACATACAACCAGAGTCAGCCACAGCTGAATGCACAAAAGCCCTCTCCGCACTTTAAGCATGCTGTAATAGCTGAAAATAGCAGTAATCACACATATTCATCCAGTAATTAATGAGGCAGTGGGGAATACAGCTTCTCATGCTGAAAGATTAGTTTATATAATTTGATTACTCTGAAGAACCACAGAATGGGACACATTAAAACTACTCACACAGAGATTAAACACACATACACTCAATCCATCAATTATCTAAGAGCTTCTCAGAGTTCTTCAAAACAGCCTTATCACAGCATACCTTCCATTGATGGGCCAGGTGCGTGTGATGTCACTTACATAGCAGGAAGACTCACATCCACCATCTAGCAAGACCAGTTCACCATCCTGGAGAATAACAGGAAAAAATGCCCTGTAGGTCAGTCCAGCTATTAACTGAATTGATTTTTCTGTCTGAGAGTGGGAGAGGAGATTATGTCTTTATTTTTGCAAAGCAGCTGCAGAGATGTGAGCTCCTTTTGCAGAACAACACCCCAGGTGCTGCTGTTTATAGGCTATTCCAGTTGGATTGTTTCTCTGCAAGGTAGTCTCTGACTGTTATGCTTATCTACAGCCTGAACTCTTAACACGCTGATTTTCAAACACTTCGGAGTAAAAACAGACATTTTCCTTAAACTATTCTGTGCTCTGAGACACCAGTCCCATTCACACCTGGATCACTTACTCCAGCAGATTACACCAGTGACTCCTTTCACTAGAAGTTCTCTGCTAGTGACTGAGACAGAAGGGTTTTGCAAAAAAAACATAGATTTCGGAGCTACCCACAAGACCACTAACCGCTAAAGATTTAGCCTTATCACAAGGTAGGAGGACCCAGCAAAATCACTTCTCTGACAGTGTATCATTACTGTAAATGCACTATTGAACAGCTTGTACCATCTTCCCTGATCTCTTCCGGGTCTTCCTTGACTGCTCTAAGATATACTTCTGAATCTATCTGGTGATGGAAGAAAAAACTTTTGGAGATGTGAACCTCCAATTAGCTTCAGCAAAACTGTTCCATGTCAGTTAAATCACTGACCGCACATCTTCCAAAACCCCGACAAAAAAAGACAAAGGGCCAGGAACAAAACCACTGCCTTGCTTTTCCTCCTTAAAGAGGCTAACAACAAACAGAGCAGTGACATCTGTAAAAAGTTTGGATTAAATTCTCTATGGATTTACACTACATGTAATCCAAGGCCTTTTACAGATATTCACTCCACAGATCCGTGACTGTGCCAGCAGCCACGATGTGGCATGACAAAAAATAATTCTAGCACTTTAAGGGAAAAAAGAAGCAGAATTTCACTGCTAGCACTACTTCCAGTGCTAGCTATCATTGTGTACAGTTAAGCGCCACAAACACTTACACAGCAAATAAACTCAGACCTCTGAGTTTATCCCACTGAATAGACAGGCCATTAACTATCTATTTAAATTGTATTTTTAGCTTCTTCAGAATAGCTGGTTCAATTCTTTAAGTAAAATATGAAATTATAGCACCTGCCCTCTTCCAAGCAATTAAACAAGCTAAGTAGCAATTTATTGGCTAAGGGAATTCTGCCTGTGGTTTGTTGCCCAGTAAGTGCCTTATGCTGTGCATCGTGTCCTCTTTCTTTAAAGCTGAGACCACTAAGTGGTGGACTGAATGAAGTCCACATGTGACCATAAGCAGCCTTCAGATACCTTTCAAATTAGACACTCTGTTAGCCTATTTGGCAACAAGATCTGTAGGAAGTAGCACACAAAGGAAAAGAAAGAGTCAAGTTTATGAGTTTAACCTCCTACTTAACAGTTTTGAAAAAAACAAGTGACAGTCATTTAACTGAACAACTTTATCAGAAGCAACTGGAGTTACATGAGCACGCCTGACCTTAGACGACAGTACAACAAAGGAGGCTTCTTTCTGCCAAAAGCAGCCTGTCATATCTTTTGTATGTCTGTCTCTGCCGATCATTTCAAGGTCTGCTAGCATGCCAGCTTCAAGAACAGACAATGCTAGTGGGAAAGTTTCTTCCTGCATTAAGACAGAGAAAAAATATGCTCCTCTGAAAAGTGAATCATGAGTAGAGCAGTGGGGGAATAACTGCTCCTTAAAATACTTATCTGAATCTAAAGGTGTATTGTCACAAAAGCTGGAGAGGGTTCAATTCAATAATGTGGATCTTCAAAATAAGACATTCATTTACCTACAGCCATCTAATCCACCTCTCAACATTTAACGCTGATCCTTTCCCTCCTTGTTCCCGTTCCCTGCTTTGCTAGCCTACACAGAATCCTAAATGCTTTTCAGCCTCCTCGCCAGAGGAGGAATGCACTATTGCACCTTATGTTGCAAAGCAAGGCCAAGCAATGCAAGTAACAGTAGAAGACCTCATCAGAGCCTTCACTCTGCCTGCTGCAGTGGTCCCTCTCTTTTGTGAGGTTAGCAGTCCACCCAGCACTGCACACTGCTGCACACGGTGTAGGAGCAGATATGCTCGCTAAATGAAGTTATTTCCAAGCTTGTTTGCAAGTCCTTCCACTGTTCAGAAAATACTGCAGAAAGTGCAAAGAGGAGAGAAAGAGACTAGATGGAGTGAAGTTAACCTGTCACTGACAGTAAAACTAACCAGGGCAGGATTCCTTTCCCCTGCTCACTTGAAAATACATATTTAAGTGTTTTGATCTGTTCAGTCAAAACAAAGAGCCGCTACAGGGCACATATGGGTACAGTGTGTCACAGCGCTGCACTGTAAGTTACTGTATATTGTATCGTTTACCTTGATGAGCTGATTGTTCTTCACATAGTGCAAAGTGTTTGATCTATTGCCACCAGCAACGACAGGAGGGTAGGCCAAGATGTCAGCACCACGAGCCCGGCACTCGAATTCAAACTGGAATACCAATTCAGAGAGGAGGAGGCTGTTAGCACTGATTCAGGCGATTAACTGCCCTAGGGCTATTATAATTCATGTCCTGCAACTGTTTTCTTAATTTGTACAGCACAAAGTGAAACGGGAAAGTGAGTTCACTAAATGAAAGCAGCCTTGAAGGTTTTCCAAGAACGCTGGAGGAAAAAAAATACAGAACTACCCACTTTTCAAGATAGTGTTTTAAGTCTGCATCTGGTCTCATGGAAGCTCCTTCTGGTGCAAGCTGTTCAATACTGTATCAAACATTCATTACGTTGTCATAAATCACCAAAAAGGTGAGGATTTGTTCTTTTATAAAGTAATGCTCTTAGTTGCCATACAACTTTGCGAATTTTCAAAGATCCTAAGTGTCAGCATGACAACAGTTGAGTTTTGCTGTTGTCTTTTAAAATTACAAAGTACCAGCATATTTACAGCAGTATCTATTTTCATGACTCTGTTGAACTAAGAAGGTTTGAAAGCATGCACCACCTTGATGTCCGAGGGGAAAAAAAAAAGGCACCGTAAGCCTCAAGATCTTTATCCTTCTTGAGTGATGAAGCTGATGAAAGCATGGAAATGAATAAACTTATATCTGTAAAGATCTTCTACATCCTCAATATATTAACAACCTGTCTTTTCTATAATTACCAAAACCACATGGGACAGAATGCTCCAGGATGCCTACGTGTAGTAAAGTAGGTTTTACAATCCTGATCTGGAGTGAAAAGTTGATCTGTAAAATACACTTTAACTAAAATAATTTTCTCTACAAGTTAGTACCGCTGCTCAGTGCCATGTCAGCACAGGCCCATCTATGTTGTAATACAGGCTGCTGAAGTTTCTCAAACAGGCATCTCACTGCAATTCCTTACAAAATTCCTTACCAAATGCAGAGGCCAATTAGTGCTTATTTTGTAACTGAGATGTGTCTACACTGCTTCAAGATAGCTGTGGTAATCTGATGTAGTAAGAGGCTACAGTCAAGAGAAGCAGGCTTTACAAATAGGTGTTATAACTACTTAAATTCTGTACAATAGAACTGTATTATAGAATAAGATAATAACTGTATCTCTGATGGTTTAGCAGGTTTTGTATTAAAATACAATAGAAAAAGACATCAATAGCAGATAAACTTAAGACAACCACTACATTCCTTCAATAAGGGTACAGGAAGTACAGCTGAGGAATTCCTCACACTGACTTTTCTGCACGTCCTAGGAACCACAAGAACTGGCTGAAGGAGGAATGTGCTACAGCAGGAAGCCTACATTATAGAGAGATCTGACATTTCTAGTTTCGTGGAAGGATAACCAACATCCAGACCTTCTATCTCACCTCCACCCACAAAGTACTCACCTTTGCATACAGAAAGGCTTCATCCACTGGGGACTTGCTGGCAAACATTGTCTCTATGAAAGCCTATGAAAAAGAAGGGCCTTTCAGTTAGCAAAGGAGCCTGAACTTGAAAGAAGTTCTTTTTTTCACTTGCTGTCTTTTGAGGAAGGCCTAAAATCAGCTGGCCCAGAACATAGGAACCAGAGGCAGCTTTTCCTTCAGAGAAGGACAAGCTGTGCCTCTCTTTTCTACTTGGTTCTCTATTTTAATAATATTTACAAAAACATAATTGCATTTGAGGTCATCTGTCAAATTAGTTTAAAATTGGCCAATGAGTTCAAAAAGTATTTGAGGGAGAAGAGGGAAAATGGAGACATACACAGGCAATGTGTTCACAAAAATCCTGTTTTCTCAAAAACAACAGGATAAATGGGGAAGAGAATGGCACGGGGAAGGCTGAGAAAAGAGTGAAGAGGCCTACCCCTGTTCCTGAATAGGTATTGCTTTTAAACAAAGTGTAAAATCTGCTGGCTTGTCTTTGCTCAAGTTACAATAATTGAGAGAAGCTGGTAGTCCAAGCAGTCTTCCTGTTTCTCCTTGTCAAGTGGAGGGAGCCGAGCCCAGCCAACAGTTGAGACACAGCAGTTCAGTAGCAGGTTAGACCAAAGCTATCCTTCCAACACATCACCCCATCAACAGCCCTCTCCCCTTTCTTCTTTAAAGGAATGCACTGGTTCATCTGGAGAGCACAAACCCATACCTCTGCTGTCACCCGTCCAGCTATCTTCATCCTTTCAATCTCTGCAGGAGATTTGATCAGCCGAAGGTTTTGCACTAGATGTCGGATGCCCTGGATGTGGTTTTTGTTCCGAGCTTTTATCTCAGCCAGGGGCTGCATGTAGTCAGAGTGCAGCTCCGTATGCACTGGTTTCGTCAAGTCATACCAAACAATGTTTGACTCACCTGGAATACAAAACAAAAGCTGACACAGACGAAAATAAATGTAGACATGTCCTCCCCATACTGAACAAACTCACTCCTCCTAAACTAGACCTGTTGCTATATTTGAGAAATCAATTTCCTCTGAATCTGTATTTACAGACCATATATACACTTTCACTGTCACAGGATACTAGCAGTCTCTTCAAAATCTGGAAGATTACCAATTCACAGCATGTAGATTTGACAAATCCCCACTTCTGTGCCAATATTAGGTTTTACGATCATCACTGAAAATATGTACCTTGCACAGATCCATTCACAGTTTGCATATCAAAGTTGCACTTGTGTAAGCTAAGGAGCCATTGCACTGCAGTCGTGCATGTTCTGAATCATTCTCTCATTTAGCCTGTCCCCCCGATGCTGTAAGGCAATTTACCTTTTACCCATCGCATGGAATCAGGGTCATTATCAACTACGCTTCAGAGTATCTTTGGGGAACAACTGCTTATTTCAGCCATTCAGAGAAGATGACTTACTGAGGACAAACTTATTTACCCATGTGGAAATTTATTTAGAACATCAGAGTCAGCACCCACATTCTCCCCACAGGAGCATTTTAAATGGGAATGAGTAGAAAAACCATGCTGAGTCATAGCTAAGGTCCACCTAGGCCCTCCTCCTTTGGTGGCATTAGCAGGTGCTAACAAAAAGTCTCTAAGAAACTGGGCATTTATGAAAGAGTATTTCCCTTAGCACATCCTCCCCACTTCTGGTTTCTTCATTTCAAGGCTGCATCTTTGTAACACTGATTAACTGCTTTTCATGGACCTCTCCCCCACAGAACTAAAAACTTTTGAATCCATTTATGCTTTTGACATTCCAAACCTTCCATGAATGATCTACAATTTAAAACTTAAAAGGTGTCAAAACCTGCCATGTAATCATTTCATTCAGTGTTCCCTTTGTTTTTAAATTATGAAAAATAGCAACTAATCATTCCTACTTATCGTCTCTATGCTTTCCATAATCATACACACCTCTCATACCTTACCTTCTGTTTTCTGCTGTTCAAACCGAGCAGGTTTGTCCAGCATGTATCTCACACACACTCCATGCTTTTAACCATTCTTGTTGCCCTTTCTGTGACTTCTCTACTTCCAATATATCCTTTTTTGAAACAAAATAACTAGAATCCAAGATGCGATTTGAGACTCCAGAATTCACTCTATTTATTTGTGTAATCCCCAAAACGCTTGCCCTTTTTATATGGTCGTAAGCCTCCAGCTTCATTTTATAATGCATTTAAGTTCACTCTGGATTATAAGTATTGAGGCTACCTGGTGATGTTAGATGCAGAACACCATGTCTAAAGGACAGCAATTTTCGTATTTCAAAAGTCAACATCTATCTAAAAAAGGTGAGTGGACTAACAACCTCCCTGTGTGGATCATTTTCCAAGTCTATTATGAATAAAATACCTTTAAGTTTCCTATGCTTCGTCTGGTTCTGGCTCTGTCAGCAAAAAGGTATGACTAAAACGGTAACATGGTTTGCGACGCTCTCTGGTTTATCCGGTTCCTTACATTTTACAGATGTGCACACTGGCATTCACGTGGGCACACAAGAAATTCAGAGAACAGGAAAAACTATTATTTTCAAAACTACTTTTCCACTGGTGACCCTCAAGAAGCTAACAAGAACTCCCAACTGTCTTTGTCACACTGTCATAGACCCCGCACCTCCCCAAGTTCATGATAGTCTTGAGTTGGTGTCACAGACCACCTTCCAAACCCGTACCATTCAGACCCTGCAAATCACATCTCATCCCATTCCCCCTCCATTTTTTGTTACCTTTCAGCTTGGCCACCAAATGCCTGAACTCCTCGATGGTGTAAGCTTCGTCTACTCCTGTGAGAGCGATTGCCCCATCTGTGCCTGATCTGGGCCCGTCCCACAGCTCCCGGCTTGGATCTCTCCGGGGTACAAAAAGTATGGATTTGTGGGAAGGCAGCGCTTTGCCAGGAATGCTCTGCAGCACCAGGATGCTGTCAGGCTCCTGGAACCCACAGAGGTAGAGGAAGTTAGTGTCCTGGTGGAAAATGTAGGGGATGTCATTGCTCATGTAGTACGTGGGGTTGGATAGCAGAATCACTGTGTGGTCCAATCCATCCCAGCCATGCGCTTCTTTCTGGATCAGTGCCATCAGTTTGTGTCGGCGAAGAGCGTATTCCACCTGTGACAATCCTGGGGTTACCTCTCCTACGAATACAAAACAAGTCAGATCGAGAAATTCAAGGCACTCATGATATTTTACTAGTTGCATGCCTGATTCCTGCCTACTCCCTGATGCTGTTCATATGCATGGCTTCGTTGTGGTCCCTCATTAGCCTTACCATTGCGCTCTCATGCATCTCTTCAGCTTCCATCCCTACAGCACATCCTCACTCAGTCTGCTCCTCCATCATGCAAAGACAGAAATTTATTTTAACAAATCTGATTTTCTCTTATGTATTTCTGTGCAAAAGCAGAAATCACAAAACCTGGTAGATTTAGACAAACACCCAAAACAGATGGATGTTTTTGCAAAGACATATAAAAAAAGGGGAAGGGGCAAGGCAAACTGGACTTTGACTGCTGAAAACCGATGGGGTTTATAGCACCTGGACATTGAACAGAAGATTACCTCCCGAGGTTGAGCATTAATTTCCTCAGATAAAGCTAGAATGTCTATTCAAATACACACTAAGTCAACTCATAAAGTAACTAGTTCTAAACCATAAGGGGCAGATTGAGTGTTACAGATACTGGGAGATCAGGCAGAAACACAGAGGTTGCAGAGTCTAACCAGTCACAAGATTCCAGGCAGAAATAAACCACGAACTGCAAGCTGGAGCCAGGCCATGATTAAGAGAAAGAATCTCCTCCAGGGCAGATGTAGCTTTTCTCAATAATTAACAATTCAGATTTTTCCAGAGCTAAATACTATATTCCCAATGACTCTAACTAAACAAATGCTCTCTTAGATGAAAGTGTTTTAAACTGCTCCAGTCACGAAGGATACGAAGTACAACGATCAAGATACTCAACAAAATCAGACTGAGGTTGGAGGAACAACCAACAACAGCTCAAGTAAGTATTTTTAAAAATGTGAGACTCTTTAACTATGATTTAAATTAATACATAAGCCTTAATCACTACTTTGGCTAATACCCTATTTTAGCATAGATTGCATTTTCATACAGTTAACTTTCTACTTTCATAATCTTGTCTTCCTCTTTAATGTATTACACAATGACAATTCTAGAATAAAAATTGAAATTTGGCTTGTACTGTAAGTGGATTCTTGCATGGGTGGGATGAGAGGGGGAATTTCTATCCAGAATGTTTTTCCTTGACAAAAGAGAGTTTAAGAAAATCACATATGTTGTATTTGCATCAAACTTTACACCTTTTCAACACCATACATCCCCAACACCTATTTGGTGTGAAAGTCTTTTTTTGTAAAGAAAAAACCCAAACCACCAAATTTGTTTTACTCTGTAGATTGAGAAATGACAGAGAACACAGAAACTATTTAAATGCAATCTGACCCCACATTTCTGCAATATTATACTGCAAATTTCCTATGCTCCACTGCATTCCAGTCAGCTTTCTAACTACCACAAACAGCCCGGTGAAATTTAGAAACTGCAGTAGGGTGGAACATGGGAATCCCATTTGTCTTCTGACTGCAAGGCCTGGAAATTCTCTTTGCCTTAAAGGCATTTGCTTTTTAAAACAATAATTGCAATAAAACAATGTTGTATTATTTTACGGAAAACACCACTCCTTTATTAAATGGAAAATTACTATGGGCAGCTAGGATTAATCTCCAGTGTTTCAGCTGTGAGTACTTTTAAAGCATCAGCCTCATTTACTGTGAGCTGTTAATCAGTGCCCTGAGTAACCTGATCTAATATTGACGTTAGCTCAGCTTTGAGAAGAGTGTGGACCTAGTAACATCCTGAGGTCCCTTCTGACCTGAATTATTCTACAGTTAAATATATAAGTCCATGGTTACATATTCATCTGTTCTCTCTGTATACCCATCTATGGAAAAGAACACAGAACCAGAATCTGGTTTCCTGGACATAATCTTGAATATATTTTTACTTCAAAGTTTTTAATCATGGTCATCTCATACCTACACACTCATTTTCATTAATCTCATTAAACTGCACAACCTCAGCTTCTCTTTCATCACTACCTTCTAACTTTATAGTCACAAGTCTATTTTTCTTCTTTTTCTCACAGCTTGAATACTCTTCTGAAGGAGGCATGTTCTTTAGACAAGTGGTGTCCAACCCTCAGCAAGTCTCTCCCTGATCTCCTTTTCTGAATGACACCTTTATTTTGTGACCCACAAGACATTAGATATGAAGCATTGTAGCAGTTCAGCTTGCACAAAGGACTCCTCCTTAATATAAACTGTATTGTATTTGAAGGACAATGAGCTCCCAAGATTCCACTGCTATGAAAGGGCTGCAGTACTGAAGTCAGTGACACCAACCACTCCATGAGAAAAAGGTAAAATGCTAACACGCGAAGCCTGTTTTTCGAATCAGTATCATCTCGGACAAGGAAATTAACTACTAAATATAATTACTGCCTGAAGAAGTTAATCATAAACAGATGGAATCATGAACACCTGTATGATGCAGTAAATCAATACTCTGTCCTAGACATCTCAGAAAAACAGAAGAAAGAATAGCAATGATTGGCTCATACAGGGCCTGAACCTAACCTGGTTTGAGAAGGTGTGGGTGTGTGAAGGGGCTGGGCTGGCCCAAATACCGGTTTGGAATCTTCTTCTGCTGGGCAGGCTGGATGGAAAATCTTCGGAGACCACATGACTTGCAAACTAGAGGAAAAGAAATGCACCATGTCAAGGTAAAAGACCTTTCCAGTTAGCAAACTGCAGAATTATGCTCCAGTCATCTGCCTCTTCGTAGGACTCGCTTCACTTACATGACATAAATATCCCTCCTTAACTTTTCAATTTGTTGTGCACCGTAATAGTTTATGAAACAATGTGCACACAACTCAACTAACGATCAAATATTCACAAAACAGATTGAAATAAATTAACATAAGCTAAACCTGACAATTCAGCACAAAAACCCAGAAAGCTATGTCAGTGTGCACATACTCCAATTTCTACACTTGGTGCTCACCCTCCCTCGTGTCCCTCAAGCACCCCAGGGCTTGAAGCACAACACCTGTATATTGTCTTTTCTTGATGACATCTTCAAAAATACCACTCATATGGAACAATTATATAGTTTTCAAGGCCTTTCCAGTTCTTTTTTTACTAATAACACCACAAAGAAGCCATAAAATACCACAGGTTTATGCAGCAATGCAGGGTTTTTTTCTGTATGAAAGATACACAAGAGTCCCCGTTTATGTATTTAACTTACTTGAGAGTAGCCTTAGCCAAATTGAAAACAGTTCCTCAGAAGCATAGTTATGTATCCCTCTTCACATCCACACAGCCAAAGCAGACAAGTTTTAAAGAGAATTACAAGCGTGCATTTGGGAGCTGGGGGTGTGCACGGTAAGACAAAAGCTAAAATTAAATATCATTGTCATAAACTTTACAAACTTTGAAATTTTTAGTCACAGCCTTTTGCAGCTGAAGAATTGCTTGTGCCGAGATACAAACTGGACACATGGAAGGAGATGGTAATTGGTTTCCTAACATCCAGCAGCTGATGTTTTGGAAACCGGTTCTCTTTTGTGTCACTTACCATGTGCCTACTACAAAATCAGTTCATGCTGCCATAGCATGGCACTGGGTTTTTAGAACAAATGATAATCAACTCTTCACTAGCATAAGCGAGTACAACACAAGCGAACCAGCTGCCTGCCTTTCAGAGAGCCGAGACTCAGAGACTTATAGCAGAACATATAGACCGTGGACTTTCTGTGGGAGCCAGTACGATTAGCCACTAATTGAAGATTACTTATGCATGGCAACTGACAGTCATAACATAAAGCATTCACTACGGGATGACTGACTGGAGTAACAGTCTGGAAACCCAGGCAGTGAAATATAATTACAGCTTTTTGGGCAGTTTAAAAAGTGAGCGTTGCCACCGTTTCTCTCCGCCTACACAAACAGGTCAGCTTGCAACGAGACAGGAGAACACAAGGGGCATTAAATAAAGCAATATTTTGAAGACAGCAAGGAGCTTTCCACATCGTTGCTTTATTTTTCAAACAACAAGCCCTTCTTCCCTCGGATCCAACCGTGACCGAGGGTACGACCCCGCCGCCGCAGCCAGCCGCCCGCCCGCGCCCCCTCAGCCCAACGGGACACGCCGCAGCGGCCCCACAGCCCGCCCCGGGCAGTCGGATACCAGAGCCCCCCCCCACCCCACCCCACGGGGACGGGGGCAGCCACGGGCGCGCGGCCGCGCCGGTGAGGTGAAGTGAAGGCGTGTGGTGAGGGAAGGGGGAGTCTCTGACCTGAGAA